GTAGTTTGATTTCTGGTCAAAAGGGTGTTATGATGTTCAGAGAAATGTCCAGGCCTGGATGATTCTGCTGCTAAATGAAAATATGGTCTGCTGCACAGTTCTGGGGCATTTTCTTTCCTTCAGTGGATCATTCTTTCTCCAGCAAGGGGAACTTAAGGCAAGGTAAGATGATGGTGGTGTCTTGTTGCTTCATCCTACCAAGGCAGCGTCTCTCTGTGTTGCAGTACAATAACATGGTGAAATCCAACCCTTCCTGTGGCTTTCCCAATAGACAGAAATACTTTGAAAATCCATATGTTGAGAAGGTGAAACAACCATCTCAGCAGGTTTGTCGTTGCATGAGGTCTCCCCTCCACGCCAAGGAGCTGAGTGCTGCATCCCCCTCTCCTGTGCTGCCTGTATGTAAAGTGCCTAGAAATTGTGCAGCTTTTCAATTAGATCAAATTGCCCAGAGTCACATGCAGCCTGGCCTTGAACCCCATCTAATCTGGCCTTGAACACTTCCCTGGGCAACCTGTGCCTGATACCTAATCTAACCCTGCCCTCTGTCAGTGTGAAACCATGCCCCTTGTCCTGTCACTCCATGTTCTTGTTCCAAAGTCCCTCTCCAATTTCCTTGGAGCCTCTTTGGGTACCAGAAGGGTCTCTAAGGTCTCCTGGGAGCCTTCTCTTCTCCAGGGGGAACAACCCCAGCTCTCAGCCTGACCAGAGCAGAGGGGCTCCAGCCCTCAGAGCATCTTCATGGTCTCCTCTGGGCTCGCTCCAGCAAGGACACCTCCTTATGTTGGGGACCCCAGAGCTGGACACAGTGCTCCAGGCTGGGCCCAGCGCAGAGCAACAAATACAACAGTGCCCAATGGAACCCTGCCTCCCCCCAGCAACTGCTTGGTGGGGAATGACCACAGGCCTTCAGGTATGGAGTAACCCCCTGTTTCGGGGTCTCAGGGAGTGAGTTGTGGAAGACAGAGTGTCGAGAGGGCAAGACTGATGGTAAGGAGGAGTCCAGGAAGGAAAACACAACCAGGGAATTGTGGAGGAGTTAATATTTATCCGAAACTCCCTGTGCTCTCCTGGGAGGGTGAGGGTCCAGTCCTGCCTCGCCTCTTGCTCTGCCCTGCCAGGTGCTGTTAATACTTCAACACATGAGTGTTAAAGTGTGAGCAGAGAGCCTGGGGAGGATATGCAAGGGATTTCTGGCAGTTTGAGGCATTTAGGCAGAGAGGTTGAGAGCCAGCACAGAGGAGAGCTCTGACAGGGACTGTCCTTAATGATATATCCTTCCACGGGATGGGACAGGACACAGGGACACTCTGTAGGTATCATCTCAGGCTGCGTGGGACTGGGACAGGAGGAGGGATGTGCTGCTGCTGTCTCAGACATCCTCTGCTGCAACTGCCACACGTGCTCTGGGTGGTGATGAGCTTTGTGTGCTGGGCATGGTCTCTGGCTTGGGAAAGGTAATAACTTGGGAGGATCTGTGTGATCGGTGTTCCGGTGTTGAACAAATACAGGTTTTCATAAGAAATAGCCAGGGAGTGCCAAAATAGTGCTTGGCAGCACATGTGGAGCAGCTGAGAGCTGCAGCCCAGGGCAGGGCAGCTCCATGTGTGCCCAGCTGGGAGAGGGGTATGGAGTGGGGAGGCAAAGAAACACCTGGCAAAGAGCAGGGCGGCAGCATTCAGAGGGTAAGTACCTCCCTTGGAAAGAGGAGGATCTCCTTGGTTTGGTTTTAACTTCTTTTCAAATGAAAAGGAGAATTTTAGCCGGAGTTCTCTTTCTTCCCTATCCCCAGAGGCTCATATAAATGTAAATGAAAGGTTCTTGGAGCAAACAGTCCATGGAGGCTCAGAGACTGTCATCCGCTGGCTGGGTCCAGCCTGGGGGTAAATGGCATAGAGGGAATATAATGGAGTAACACTTGATTGCACCGTTTGAGTTGGGACCTGTATTTCCTCATGTGAAAATGCTTCACTGAACATAATTTGATTTAGGAATGCTCCACTCTGCTGCACTGTCCCCCCCTCTGTGCTCTCCTCCCAGCTTGCCAGCACTGCAGATAGCTGAGCTTGTGAAAGAACCAGTTGAATCCCCATTTTTCCTGCCTCTCCAGGCCCTGGAGGTCTTTGGCTGCTCTGGCTGCTTCCTGACACCTTTGTCAGTGCAGTCTGAACCTCTGATCCCTGCATGGACTTGCAGCACTCACCCTTCCCAGCTCAGCTCTGGTGTTACAAGGGGGTACCTGGCTGGTTTGCTAAACCCTGGTGGAGGTGGCTGGCTGTGACTGTGGGACTGCATGGCTGAACAAGGTAGGAAAGAAAATAACTCTTCTGTTGGATCAAATGGCACAGGAACATAAGCCCAGCATAAAACTAGAGAGGCAGACAAGGAATTGCAAATAAGATCTGTCTCTGTACCACGGTGGCCACTGCTGTGGCTGGGGACAGTGTCAACAGTCCTAAAGCCTCGCCTGGCTGCCCACTGCTGTCCTGGGATCTGTGCCACATCCATGGGCCCTGCTTAGCTACGTGTTCATGCACAACAAGCAGGTTATGGCTTGGCAAAGGGCTTGGGCGTTGCTGAGTGAGCCTCGGAGAGGTGCGAGAGAAAGAAAATTCAAGCTGAGCCTGGAGCAGGGCTTGGTTTACTTTTTTTTTTTGTGATTTCCTTCCTTGCTTTCTCTGCACCTGGCAGTGCTTCCTGCTGGCCGTCACTGTGGGAATGTCCAAACCTGCGAGGGAAAGCGTGTGCACCCCTGTGCCAGCCTCCGTGAGCGCGGGGTGGCAGTGGAACCAGGCTCCTGCTTTGTTTCAGATTCTTGTTTGCAAATGGAAATTGGGTTTATTTTTGCAGCAGATAATAGTGGTTTCCTTAAAGTTGCTTCTGCCTCTTTCCTCTCCTCATTGCTTTCCCAAAAGTCAGCCCTGGAGGGCCTTGAACTCCATGAAGGCAGCCCTAACCAGGGGAGAGACTTTCTCTGTCCCTTTCCTAAATGCTGGGTGTGCTTGACTTCCCCCCAACACTTGAGCAATAGTATTAGAAAACAGAATATGTATTATCTTTCTCTATATATATTTGTACAGTGCACAGACCACCCACCAAACACCCATTTGAACAGGCATGTGATGAGCTTCTCAAAAGCTACAGAAGGTGGGGGATCCCCAGCCCTGTGACATGTGTGTCACTGGAACTGTACCTTTGGAGGAAGCAAACCCCAATGCTGGCATCACCAGCACAGGGTACTCCTCTCTCAAACACAGGCACCCCAGTGTTTGCTTGGGAGAATTCTGCTTCAAACAGAAGCTTTGTGAATTCTACTTCAAATGGAGACACGACTGCACCTTTAAAGTGAATCCATGAAAATTTGCATGAGTATTTCGAGTCTGAATGACAGGATCTACCCGGAGGTTTTATGAATTTGAAGTTCAATTGCATTAATCATAGTTTGGATTCACTTCCCTGAGTGCCTCATGGTGATCTGCCCTGCAAGAAATGGTGTCTTTACTTTATCTTTCCTAATTATCTGGGTATTGATGGGTTAAAGTCTGGAGGCTGAAATGTGTGCTGCCCCCATCCCTTCTTCCTTTCCATTCACCTTCTTCCTTTCTTCATACTTCCCCTGAGTTTTTCCCTTCCTCTCCAGCCTAAGGAGCTTGGCAATAAGGCTGCTTGGTGGAGGCAGTGCAGTGGGTTTTGTGCTGTAGGGGCTGTGCAGCTCCCCTATGTCCTTGCTTTGTGTTCTGCACCTTCTAGATCTCAGGCAGGAAATGTGGGTTTAGCCTGTTAATGGGAAAACATTGCTTATTGTCCCCTCTAATGCCTTGGGCTCTGGCAGCAGGAACATGGGGAGCTTTAATAGCAAACAGTGGATGAACAGGAATCTGAGAAGGAATCTAAACCATCTTGCCCAGGCAATAACACACTGGGGATTAGGGAGAAACTTCCCAAAGGACTGGACTGTCCTGGAACTGCCTCCCACCAGCTCCCTGCTGTCTGTTGGGATGTGCAGTGGTTGCTGTTGGCTGGAGGGCCTGGCCTGACCCTATGGCTGGGTGCTGGCTGTGTTCCTCCTACTGCTTTGGGGACAATGATATTCCATCAGCTGCTGAACAGGAGAAGTCCACAATACTGAAAACCAATATAATGTATATTATAATGTATATAATATAATGTAGGTCCAGGCTGTCCAAAAGTCCCAGCACTGCCTGTGATGCCTGGAGTCTTCCCTTGGAAGTTTATTCATCCAGCTGGGAAACAATCTGTCCTTCTGCCCAGGTTATGAGAGGAGTGCCAGGCTCTGTCACATCTATCACACTTGGGGTTTTCCATGTGAACTGTGAGCGTTTTGGGGCAAAAAGTGTCACATGTACCATGCTGATCATACAAGGGTTCTGCCAGCACACCTGACCTGTGGAGCAGCTGTGCCTTCCCTCCTGGCATCTGCCATCCCTGCCTTGGGGATGTGGGATGGATGGCTTCTTTGCCAGCTCTGGGGATGGAGGCTGTGCCCTCACATCTGGCTGGGTGGCTCAGGCTCCACACTGTCGGCAGGGATGGGCGCTGGATGGCACAGGAGGGCCGTGCAGGGTGGTGTGGGCAGTGCCTCACTGGAGGTGCTAACACAGCGTCCCTGCTGCCTGCCCGGGCCACCAGCCAAGGGGAAGTTTCCAAGCGGGCCAGCTCACTGCTGCAGCCACACATCCCTCCATCCCAGCCGAGGAGAGGAGGATCCAGCACCGGGCTCTGCAGGGCTGCCCTGCTCTCTCTGCACCCTGTGCCCTGCCCGGCCGTCGCGGGGAAGGAAAACTGCTCTCAAACCCCACCTTCGCTCCACTGCGGGACCAAGGAGAAGACCAAGAGCTTCTGTCCGGGGCAGAGACTTTCACTATCGGTTTTGGCAGTCTGCAGAAATCCTCCCGATCGCCGCCTTGCCGTGGGGAGGGAGGCGAAGCAGGGGCTCAGTGCCAGGGCCGGCGGCAGAGCTCTGCGAGGGCTGCGCGGGGCGAGTAAACATGTGCGGCGCTCGGGTCCTGCCTGGTAGCAGCAGCCCGTGATGCTGTGCTTGGAATGAAGTCAGCCTTCATCAGCCGAATAGTTTATGCATGAATCGAAACTTCAGACCTGGCAGGGTGGGGGAACGTGCAGGATCTGCGCTCTTTTAGAATGCTGGAGCCAAGGAAGGAGGGAGGGGATAGAGGAAATAGCAGGAAAATAAGACTGGGGAAGCGGGGAGAGATTTGAGAAGCTGGATGAGTTTTTCGCTCTGTTATTGTGAGGAGCCAAGTTCCTTAAGCATCTCCTGGTGGATATTAAGAGGGAGCTGTGGAGGCTGGAGCATTCCCCTGGACACTCGCATGCTGTAGCTTTAAGACTGTTTTACAGAGGACTCGGGATTTCCAGTTTTCCTGTGCCTGGTGGAGTATTCCAGGGAGTTACAGGATTTTTTCGGGTCATGTACCCCCTTTTTCTTTCTTCTTCCTCCTTTCTCTTTCCCTCTTACTCTTCTTTTTCATTTCAAAGAGACAAAGCTACTTCAGTTTGGAGCACAAACATATGATCAGCACATGGAAATGTGGTAATTTGGATGCATTCATGATTGCAACAGATTGAAGAAATTAGACCAGACAAAGAGCTTTTTTTGGAAGAGGAGGAGGAGGAGGCAAGGCAAGGAGGGAGGGAGAGTGGGGGAAAGAAGGGGACGCCACCGAAAAAAGGGACGGCCGTGACACGCGGATGCTAAATATATCCCGTAGTAATGGAGAGGGACCGGATTTCAGGTAGGCTATTGATCTTTTCATATGTTATATTCTGCCTCTGCCCTCCTACCTTTCCAGCAGCTTCTGCACTTTAAGAGGAGGAACAGCCCTGCTCCGGGTGGATTTCAGCCGATTCCTTTATTTATTTCCTTTTTTTTTTTTTTTCCATGCTTCCCTTCTGCATTTCTTTCCTTTTTTTTTTTTTTTCCCCCATCCTCCTGAGCCCTCGAGACAGACGGTGATTCCAGCAGAAGCCGAGGGGGGCGAAGGGGGAAGCAGGGGGGAAAAAGAAACTGCTTTCTAGGTCTGGATTTCATTTGAGTCTCTCTCTCTCCCCCCCTCTGCTCCCATGTGCCGCACGGCGCGGGGGGATGAATGCTGAGCCTGTTAGCTCAGAGCTGCGAGCCGGGAAGAGGGAGGAAAATAGCCGAGCTCTTGGCATGGAGACGCGGTTCTGCTCTGAAGGTTGGCTCCTGAGTGTGTGTGTGTGGTGTGTGTGTTGTGGTGGAGCTTTTCCTGCTTGCCAAAGTGTCTTCCCTCGGTTTTTGCCCTCCCATCCTGCCTGGCTGGGCAGGAGCTGCCTGCGTGTTCCATGGCTGGTCCCTGTGTTACGCCAGAGCAGTGGCGTGGGCTTCACCTTGCTGGCCATGAGTGGGGGGAGGCTGGAAGGGGGAAGCAGAGGAATGAATAACTCCATTTAATTCCCCAGTTTCCCTGCAAATCCCGCCCAGTGGTGCATGTCTGAGTGATTCCAAGAACTGCTCCCAGGTACGCTGAGCCTTTGGGAAGCAGTGAGCTGTTTTGGGAATGGCTGTGACTGTGCTTCCAGCAGCAGGGAGAGAGGGGACAGGCGGTGTGGTGTCACCCACAGGGCTCACCCTCAGCATGCACGAGCAGGATGACCAGGATAAGAGAGGGAAAGCCAGGGAGGGGGTGTCTGTGCCCAAATTGGCAGAGCCGGTGGGTATCCCTTCTCCCACCCCCATGGCACAGCACAGCTCACCCTCCTCTGGCACAGCAGCCCCAGAGAGGCACAAGGCCTCTTCTCCTGGGCGTTCCCAGCTGGCTGCTGGGCATCGGAGCTGGGAGGGAAACCACAGGGATGAGAGGAAACGCTCAAGCCAGGGTGGAGCGAAGCTGTGGCCAGGGAAGGCTGCTCCCATGGCTGGCCCATACCAGATCCACTGTGCCCCATCCAGGGATGTACTGAGAGCACCCAGTGCCCCTGGATAAGGACTTACCTGCAGGACCACCCTTCATTCCCTACCGCTTCTTCAGAGTGTGGACGGCACCTTCTCATCCCTCTTGCTTGTGCTTTCTCCTCTGGTTTGAGCCACTTCAAAGCATTCCTGAGAGCTGCTCGTAACTCAGAGCTTGGTGGGTGTTTCTGCAGCCTGGGGCTTTGGGCTGAAGAACCTCTGCCAGTGGGCAGGGATGTGGGGGAGAGGAGGGGCAGTTTGGTCCTACTGTGGTTTGGCCTTTCCCATCCTCGGTGCAGCGCTGGGTCCCCTTCCTCCACACAGAGGTGGAGGGGGGTTCTGCAAAGGGTCACTGGTGAGAGAGGGGACTCCCTAGTGATGTGATCCAGGGCTTTTTGTTCTGAAAGACCACAAAAGGTGGGGTTTTTTGAGGCTTCAGGCTGCACACCCCACTCAGCTGCTGCAAGGAGCACAGAGCCCTCGTGGGCTGGTTGTCCCCCACTCCTGCAGGGTGTGCAGCACCCAGGGAACCCGCGGGCAGGAAGACCCTGAGAGTCCTTGAGCAAAGATGCAGGAGCTCTTGCTAATGTCCAGGAGCAGGAGCAGTGTTTGCAAAGCACTGATGTCCAAGTGTGTCCATGTTTCACTGACCTCTGCTGGAACTGGCTTTTCTGTGGGTGGCTGAGATGTGGCTGAGCTGTGGGCAGGGAGGCAGGCAGGGATGCAGAGGGGCAGGCAGCGGGGAGGGCACGTGGCTGTGCCTGGTGGCCTGGGCCAGGTGTACATGTGTGGTGTGTGCCTCCACCTAAGGTGGTTGTGCCTGGGGGCTCGGTGTGGGATGATGAACACGACTGCTCTGCCCTCCTTCACACACAGGTGGGTTGGGTGCTGTGTGGGACCCTAGAGCCGTGCAGGCCATCCCAGTGGTGTTTCTGATAGGTGGATCCAGCATGAAATACGGGATGGGGGAATAGGTGGGCTGAAGGGCTGGTCTCAGATCTGTTCCATAGGTCCCTGCTTGAAGGGGTCAGAGCAGGCAGGGAAAGCTGCTCGGCCGGGGCAGTGGAGGGAATGATAAACCACATGTGGGAAAACTGTGCTCCAGGAGATTCCAGGCACAAAAATGACAATGGTTGGATGCGATGATTTTAGGTGTTTCTTCCAACCTAAATGGTTCCATGATTCTAATATCACCAGGCCATGCTGTTGACTCCCAGATCCATGGCACAGCATGGATCCATGGTCCTGCTGCTGCTGGCACGGGAGCAGCTGTGCCAACTGATGTGCTCCAAGGCTCCCACAGGGCTGTGGGCTCTGGCACTGCCACACTGGTGGATCCAGGGAGAGAGGAGCAGGGAGCAGAGCTCAGCCTGCCCCAGCACAGGCAGGGGGACAGCTGGGCCCTGGCTTTGGTGACAGAGATGACTCAGATGAAAGCAGATCTGTGCTGTGCTGGGGGCCTTGTCCCAGTCACTGCTCTGGCCCTAAACATGCTTTTAATTAATCCTCGGCTGTGGGTGGGATGAGCTGACTCCTGATCCGAGTGTGGGGCTGCCGGATGGGGCGAGGGCACTCCGGGGTGGGTGGGAACTGGGCCTGGCCTCTTCTTTGAGGATTGCTTTCCCACAGCTGCTGGAGCTGGGCATGTCCCGAGGGGTCTCCTCTGCCCAGGGAGAGCTCAGGCTTCCTTGCACAGGAGAAATCCTTGACTCAGAATCCTCTTTTAGGTGATGACAAACACCCTGTGCTTCAGGGGAAGGCATTGAAGGTGCGAGATGATACTGTGGGTCTGTGCCTGGTTCACTCCCAGCTCTGGGGCAGGGAGGGTTTTTCTTGGTCTGTAACAAGGTGCCAGTCAGCGTCTGTGGGTGCTGTATAACAAACACAATCTCATAGAACCTGCTAGTCTCTTTTAATCCAGTAAAACCATTTCTCACGCATTTCTAAAAGTTAATACTGCATGAAAAGCATTAGCTCTAAATTAATTTGTTTCCAGGCATGCCTCTCCACTCGTTTCAGGGCTGGGGAGCCGTGCTCCGGGTGCTCCTCACGTCCTCCTTCTCCCTGCAGTGCCAGGTTGCGCTGGTGGCAGTGGCCTGGAGATGGCTCTCCTGTCTTTCCCTAGCAGATGGCTCTTCTGCCGAGCCCGGATCTCTCTACAAAGCCTTAGTTGTGAATGCCTCGAGGCCTCTTTACCTCTTCTTAAAAGAAAAGGGTCTGCAGCTCCCTGAGCAGTGGGGTTTGGTTGCTGTGATGGTTGGGGTGAAAGGATGGCAAGGGAGATCTGATCTCCCAGGGAAATTATTAGTGTCACCTTTGAAATTGCATAGGAAAACTCATTTTAAGAGTTAACAAATGATGATAGATGGGTGATTGTGACACCTGACTGTGTGAGTCAGGTGAGTCAGTGAGTGGCACATGTTGAGCAGAGCCTGGCAGCTGGGAGGGCTGTAGGCGTATAGAAAGAGGGATGAACTGCTCACTGACCTATTGGTGATCACTCTCTGTATCCACTATGGCTACGTTTGTGTGTGATATTCTTAGTTTAACATGGTTTTATACATCATATTGAGCAGCAGGGACACAGCCCCTGTTTGCAGGGGCTGGGCAGGCATGACAGGGCATCTTTGGTGTCCTCAGAGCCACCCAGAAAACACCATGTGCCCGGACTGAGCAACAGGAAAGGAAAGTAGGGACCCTGTATGTGATTGCTGGAGATATGAAGGGTTGCTGTGAGGGAATACAGTTGTTTCTTCATTACTTTTTAAGTAGAAGTTAATTTTTAATATGCATGTAGCAGAGAGATTTCTTCTGATCTCTTTTGCTGTCTTTCATGTCTGAAGTTTCTTGGTGTCCTTGTTATTCCTAGGAAATGGCAGGTAAAAGCCTAACATGTTTCTTTTTAGTGGTCTTCTCACAGCTATGCACCTTGTTTATCAGACATGTTTATTTTTCTCTGGCTTGCAGCGTGTCACACACTCACATGGGGCACCAAGTCGTGCATTTACAGTCTGGATGGTTCCACCTCCTGTCAGATCCCACTGTGTTCACCCAGCCCTGGAACTCAGGGTCACCTTTCCGTCTGTCCTGTTGGTGGCTGATGGTCTGTCTGTAGCCCTCCCTTCTGCTGTCACTGTCTTACTCATGTCCCTATCTGGTGCTGACCCCCATGTCTTGCTGCAGTATTTGATGCCCTGTAAAACTCCCTGAAACCTTTTTTTTTGGCAAGTTTCTTGTTGAAGCGTTTACCTTCACCCCAGGTGTTCTGCAGTAACCTGTTGTGGCTGTGGGTTTTGGCCTATTTAACAGTAGCTCCATGCAGTCCCTCTCTCAGGGAAGGGTCTGGGATTGGAGAGGCTGTGGAGCTGCCTCTGCAGACGCTGTGTCCACAGTTTGCTCCCTGCTACTCCCAGCCTGCTCTTGGCTGCCAGCTCCTGCCTGGCCTGGGGATGCATTCCCGCAGTTGTCTGAGGCATGTCAAGGTATGAAGCATTATCCATTTCCTGATGTCTGCTCTTAAATCTGCTGGAAATTCTGCTCATCTCTGTTAAATATGGTTCCTCTGTGAAGCACAACTCATCTCTGGCCTGACAGCACAGGTAACGCTCCTCGACACCGCTCCGCTGGACTTGGCCAACCCTGGGGCAAGAGCTCCTTTGCTTCCTGCCCTCCTGCTTTGTGCTTTGCTGGATGACTTGGAGCCTCCCAGCAAAGTGATTCCCATGCTGCTGGGGTGAGGGAGGACGTTTCTCATGCAAGTCAGGGCTCTTCCAAGGTCCAGCATACCATAATGCTGAGTAGGAACAAGTACGTAGTTAGGGA